TCAGGTTCACAGGTTCCTCTCAGATTGACTTTTGAATAAAAGAATATTTTTCTCAAATTGAGTCTCAAAAACTAAGGCACATGAATAGACTTTTGTATTTATTTATTCACCATAAGGGTTTTTTGAATAAATACTTTATTTATAAAAGGCACTAGTCAACTTAGGAACAAAATATTGGGAAAAGATTTTGACTAGTTTGTATAAAATAGGCTTAATTGGGAAGAAGAATTTTTGGGTTGTTATAGAACAAGTTGAAAATTACAACAGCAAGGCCTTAGTGCGTGAAGATATGCCTTAAGGTGCACGAATATATACCTTAAGGCGTGTTGTTTTAACGCTTAAGGTGAGTTAAAATAAATCTAAAAAACCTCCAGTAATAAGTTGAAAATTACAACAGCATGGCCTTAGGTGCATGAAAATAGGCCTTAAGGTGCGTGAAACTATATCTTAAGTTGCGTTGTTTTAACACTTAAGGTGAGTTAAAATAAATAGGCTCATGTGCCATTCCACACCATGAACCAAAAGTGATTCTTCATGCCGCACCATAACCTTTCATAAGTGTTGTTTCGATGCACAAACCATAAACATTTTTTCACCTAAAATTTTTTACAGGTTGCCTTCAAGTTATAGGTAATAACTTGTTGATGTGGAGGTGAATTGGTATGACATGGCAGCCATTTCATCATTTCGCTTGAATAAACAAAGCCCTAATTTTCTAAAATATCCAAATTGCCCAAAATTCATACATTCTTTCATACATTCATACAATGTATTTAAACATAAGCATTCTAGTACAGTATGGCGGCTGAGTCAGGTGGTGCTACGGCAGTGCCGCCATGATGGCCAACGGCAGGTGGCGTTTTGGCGACCGGAGTGTCGCCGGATTCTAGAAATTCCAGAAAATCTTCAGAAATCAATCTGAAGGTGCAAAACTCGCCTATGTAATCATATGAGCTCCCGACAAAGATGTAAATGTTCAAAATCAAATGTAATCAGCCACAGAGATTGTATCTCTGGAGCCTTTAACAAAATCATAAGATGTAATCAGCCACATGGAGAGTGTTGGCCCCAGAGAGATTTAAGAACGAATCTAGAGGGGGGGGGGGGGGGGGTGAATAGATTCGTTGGGTTTTGAAAAATTTCTACGATTTGTTAAGTTCGATAGCTTAACGACTCGTTAAGAGTTTAATGGACATCGGAAATATTTGTGACTTCTTTTAACCTATCTTTGCACGAATCGTTGTTTAAGAAAAACTTTGGAATGTAGTGTGTGTGAATATGTGAATGCAGTACTTAAGAGAGAGAGAGAGAGAGAGAGAGAGGGAGATTTTTTTAGTGGTTCAGCTGTTAACAAAGCCTACTCCATTCTTCTTCACAACTCATGAAGGTTTGCACTATCTCTTTAGTACAAAACAACTATGAGACTGCACCTTGACACAAAGCTGGACACAATCTCAAAACTTAGGAGGCCGTTTACTAACTGGAAATTTCTGAAAACTGGAAAATAGAAAACATAAAACATGTTTACTAACACAGTTTTCTATTTTGAAAATTGAAAATAATTTCTGGAAATTTCGGAAAAACTGAAACACACTTAAAAACTGTTTTCGAAATGGAAAACAACATCGTCTATCATCTATTTAGTTATATGTCACTATAACCACATTACTATGATTACATTCATTATCATCTTATTTTACCTATCACTATCTTTTATCTTTTCTACTTACTTTACTTATTTAAACATAATTTATTTGCTTACACTTTAAAGTTCGACATTATTTATATTATCAAAATTAAGAATTAAACTTTATATAATGTTTTAGATTTTGATTGAACTAAATAGATTATTAGTTCGAATATTTTTAATTATGTTACATCATAATACAAGTTCTATCCAGATATCGGATATTGAAATCTCACATATATTAGAATTCAAAGTAAAAGTTATATATTCATATACATGTCATTCAAATGAATATATCCAAAAAAAATATTATAAATATTAGCTCAAAAAATATTAATATTATCTAAACTAAATTTTAGGTGAAAACTGAAAAATTAGAAAATAGAAAACATAGAACAGTTTTCTGTTAGTAAACAAGTTTTCTAAACAGAAAACAGAGAATGAAAACTGAAAAATTAGAAAACATAAAACTGAGAACAATTTTTTGTTAGTAAACGGACCCTAGGTTTTTCGACTACACTTAGTCTACTCCGCCTCAATCTACGTATCCAAGTAGATGAAAGATGATGAAAAGATTTTCTTCTTCTTACAACTAAGAAGCTTGGCGTGAACTGAATATAGATGATGATGCAGCTCAAGTTTCCTTCAAATCTGGATAGAGAATATGAGACTTTATCACTTTTTCGCACTGGATGTTTTCTGCTTTCTAGAGAACTTGAACTTTTAGCTTGTAACTAGATGATCTTGCTTGGAAATCATTTTTTTCTTATTTCATCCTTGAGATAGCAAGCTATTTATAAGGGTGAAATTTGTTCCGTTGGAGAGAAAGACAAATTTCAAACACCCTTTTATTCAGTGGGTAGAGACTATAGGGCAAAGAGTGCATGTGATTGTCATAACTATTTAGTTGTTGGTCCATGAAGTGTGCTGACAGTGTTTGTCATTTATCACTTCACAAAGGACAAGGCATTTAATGATAGTTTTACTTAGAGATTTGTTCCTAGGACTCTCTTTGTCCCTAACAAATATCCCATGTGCTAGAGTATGAACTGTTTGTGCACAGAAGACGTTTCTGGCCAGTTCTCACGATTCGTTGATGTGAGGATCAACTCGTGTGCACTCTTGATTAGTTGACTTTACTTAGTCGTCCATGTGATCAACGAATGATTTTGACTTAATCATTCGGCCTTGATGAACTTCAAAAGGTAGACCTTTCCAGAATTCGGTCACTTGCAACCTTTTGATCTTCAACATCTTCAAGTCTTCTACTCTTCTTATCTTGATTTGTTCATTCTTGCTACAGATATGCTATTACATAGGACAATTCGTCTAGCTGACTCTATCGAATACAGAGTTTTGAACACCACGAGTTGATGTCTAGTTAACTCGGGTTTATGACTTGAAAGACTAATTAAGCTTAGAATGAATTGGGGGTCTAAATTCCTAAGCTTGGTATCATCAAAATCTAATTACAAAAATGTTTCTAACAATTTCCCCTTTTTGATGATGTCAAAACCTATACTCTAACCATAAGGCCGATTTCACAAAAGAAAGAACATTATATTTTTATTTACTTGGCCAAATAGTTGAGTTTAACATGTATTTCTGTGAGTGGAATTACTGAAAATTAATCTCAACGCATACCACAAAATACTCCAATTTATTTAATCTTTCACCAAAAGATAAGATAATAGCAATTACAAAGAAAGCTTACGAAAGATTACCTTTCTCGTGAATGTCTCGGATATCCAATTTGGTGTTGATCTCCTGTCTTTTCTTGAGTTTATCTTCAAAGTCTTTAACAAGTTCAACATATTGTGGTGCAATCTTGAATTCCATGTAGTTTGAGAATGCTTCCAGAATACTGTCTCCTTCAATAACTCCCTTTTCTCCACCATAGCAAGAATTCTGGTGTGCTCATCCTGTCTACAAAGCTTCTTCCAGATTCTTTTATCATCAGTAGAACTGCTGTGTGCATCAGTTCTTTATCAGCATCTCTTCTAATTAAGTGATATTCAGCAGCTCTAGCTTTCAATTCCTTTATTCTGGCAACATCATCCTATTGATCACTTATCAAGGATTTAAGTCATTTATCCCTCATCTCTTTTGCTTGATCAATCTCTTTGTTCATTTGAATCAAGTAGTTCATCTCGAATTCACGATTCTTTCCACTAAGATGTGGTGGAATGTTGAATCCATGAAATTTTTCCAAACTCCCTTCGACATATGGTACATATATATGGTACCCAACTGTTTGCAGGATCACGAGTCAATTGTTGTTTCTCTGTAGTTCTTTTGATCTGCCTCGGGTGCTTCTGCTTTTCTACAGCTGTAATTGATTTTACAATTTGAGAGCTGGTTGGTCTCTGATAGCTACTTGATCTGGATTGATGATGAGATGATGGATTGCTTGTTGATGGCACACGAGTTGATTGTCCAACAGATGGTAGGCAATAATCTCAGCACTTTCCTTGGTATGGATTCAACAACATCATCAACAATCTCAGATGCATTCTCTCTCGACACCTCTTCTGTTCTAGCAGGTTCTTGTGGGAGGCTTGGAGATTGAATGATCTCTGGTTCACTTCGAGCATGGCCTTCTTCTTGGTTGTTGGAGGTAATCTTAATATTTAGTCTTTAAACGACTTTTTTTATACGGTAAAAATAGTTTATTTCTAACAATGTTCTCCCGGTTATGTTACAGTTATATATACCATTGAGTTTCAAAGGAGAGGTCTTCCGCATGCTCATATACTACTTTTTTTGGAAAAAAAAAAAAGGCTCAAGATAGTCAAGTTGCTACTCTTGACACAATTATTTCAGCAGAGATACCTGATGAGAATACAGATGTAGAATATTTCAAGGCTGTCGAGGAATTTATGATGCATGGTCCATGTGGAAAAGTAAGGATGAATTCTCCCTGTATGGTAAATGGACGATGTTCAAAACATTTTCCTAAAAGATTTGTAGATTGTTCTACTTTTGATGATGATGAGTATCCGGTATATAGACGGCGGGATAATGGTAGGACAATTACAAAGAATGGCATCGTCTTGGACATGTCTGATCGCCTTGGACAATTACAAGGGGTTTAAAAATTATAATTTGTAGCAAAAACGTAACATGTCTAAGTACGACCAAAAATGTTGTGTACAAAGAAGTCTTCAACAATATGTAATAAAATTACATAGTTTATCATGTGAAATTTTTTACATTTTTAATAACTATATTCTATACTGTATATTCCATACATACACTATAAATCTGGCCGTGCATCGCACAGGTGCAAATACTAGTAGATAATACTAGTAGATGATAATAAGGAAATAGCACATGTATATCAATAACTTTCTTTTACAGAAGAAATATCTATGCATATTCTCTCTGATATGTTCTATCAATTTACAAGGAAATATTTTGATACAATAGCAAGTCAGCAGCTCTTAAACCAAAAACCTAAATGCATGGAAGATATGTAAAAGAAACATAAACATCACAAATCCTAAAAATAGTAGCATGCAACTATCTATGCATATTCGATCTGATATGTTCATTATAAGGGGAAAACCTTGTTGGAAGAGGCATCCCAGTTTCCCTGCTAGGAAAGGTAGCAGAGAATCCTTCGGGGGATGGTAACCGTGGCATCAAATTGGGGGAGAAGGGATATGTTGGGATACTAGGGACAGTATAGTTGCTAGAAAAGGGAATGACTGAACTTAGGTGAGGGTTGAGAAAGTTGAATCTCGAGGTCGAGGAAGAGGGTAGTGTGTTGAAGGCAGGCTCCAGCATAGGACTCCATGCTGTGTTTCTTGAGCCAATATGTGTAGACTGGCTAGTTGAAATTGAAGCAATTGATCTAGATTCCAAGAAAGGGTTGGGGTAGAACTTACTAGGAACGGGTTCAGGAGAATGATTAACTGAACTGAATTGCGAGGGAGAACATAATGGTAGTTGATGAAGAGCTGGGCAGCCAACCGGTATCTCGACTTTTTCACCAATTTTACCAGAATGGGTTGAAGGTGCAAGAGCCTTAATCGACAACCTGCTCTCTATCTGTGGCGAAATGTTGAGCTTCTGTTTCAGTGACAATTTAACTTGTTCTAGTGCATGAAGAACAGGTTGTACATTTTCGCCAGTTGTGTGGGACTTCAAAGCAAGCTCATAGCCTTCTCTTGAATCTTCTCCTTTTCGTAAACTACTGCCACCGAAAGAAGATGAAGCATGCTCAATGGGGTTTACTGGCAAACTACTGAAACGCAAAGGCTTGTGGCAAGTTTGACCAGTATGTTCTGAATGTACTGGTTCATGGTTTCCCTTAGGAAACGTAAATTCTGATGGGGAGTCAAGACCAGATGTTTCTCGGGATGTCTCTTCAGCAAGTACGGGTGACTGAAACCCGTTGGGAGATTTCTGTGCTCCACTGAAGTGTGTACTTATTGCCCTTGGCGGGGAGCATGGCTGTTCGGGTGCCTTCGTTTCATCTCTTTCTTCAGTCACATCAGAATGGTTTTCCCCAGAATCCTGAGAAATTCATGGAATAGATGATCAATTACACCTTGTTAGAAGATGTTCATAAAGCAATGAAACTATTTAACTACGAGAAAGTAAAAAGCATAGCAGGTTTCTAATGATAACAAAAACAAATTAAAGTTACTTAGCTACCCGCATGAAGCTGGCGCCCTCTCCATACTTCTCTTCCCATTCTCTCTGGGCTCTTTCCTCTGCTTCATATTGACCGATAAGCTGTGCTTGATGTTCTAATGCGCTTTCCAAGTCTTTGCCATCTTCAAGTTTACAGAATAAGTTGCTATCGCCCATGTGGCTTTGATTTTTTGATACCTGCAAAGCTGGAATCCCTACTTGGCCTTTTTCATTTTGGTGTTCAAGACAACCTTGCAGTGACTCAGTCCCGAAGCTCGCAACAGCATTATCAAAAGCAGCTCTTACACTAGAATCATTGCATGACTCTTCGGCAACTGATCTGGAAATACATGAGAACTGTTAAGAGAACATATGGGATTATAAGGCCATGGATTAGACTAGCTAATTGATTAGATTCAGTCTTTTAGTGTGGTTTAATTTAGCCCATGTATATTATAGCCTAGTCGAGTGACCTTAGTCCAACCTTAGATTATAACATGGTATCAGAACCTGTTCGGTCCAATCCAATTTCAAGTAGCCTAGTTGTCATCAATAACATAGCGGTATCTTGTAGTTGCATAATGAAATAAGAAAATGAAAATAACCTTGTTGGCACATGCCCTATCCACCGACATGATGCAGAAGAGCCAATCTCAGAGCTTGAACAGGCATCTCCATCAAACATTTCATTGTGTGCGTCTTTATTATCAGAAACATTGGATTCACAAAGGGCACCTCCCTGTTCAGAACCCGAATCGAAACCCTCTGATGAAACGTCACTTTTACCGAGGTTCTCTAAAATGGCAAGCACAGTTACTGTGGCCTTCTCGGCTTTCTTCCGTTGCAAAGAGACAACCTTGAGCTGTGCCTCCAGTTCTGCAACCTTTATGTGGAGAAATATGTTATAAGAACAAAAAGGATTTCTGGGAAAATATGAAGAAAATGAATAGATATAGAACATCATTAAGCTGGGTTATGGGTAAACGAATAGGGAACCCTTTATGCAAAAGTGTGAGGGCAGAATATAGAAAACAAGAATTACCCTCTTCGCCAGTTCATCAACTCTCTGCCTTGCTGTTTGTGAGACTGATCTTTCAGAAAATAATTGTGCTCGAAGAAACTCAATCCTCTTTGAAGGTGAATCTTCCATGACTGGAGTTTTCCTGGTCAAATGAATTCAATGATCCAGTTGAGAACACCCCATTGTTGAGGTTAAAAGAAGAATAAGCCGATTTCATATAAGCTACTGGTAATATAACGAATCACAGACAAAATGTACCCAGACCATAATATTTACAGCACAAATACTAGAGCTAAAGCCTAGAACTTGTGTTCTATATGCAAATTCGTGAGCTCAAATGATCTGACAATTTTAATCATTCAAATGCATTAAACTTAACACCATACATATGATTTCAGAATGCAATCTTTACTGCCCATTGATCTCAAATTTTCATTTGTCACATGTTTCTTCATTCCCTCCAACAGATACAACACTATCATCATATCTGTAACCCCAAAACAAGGTAGAGAAAGCATAGAAGACATCTTTTTTCTCTAATTTCTCAACAAACTGGATCATCAAAGCTAAACCCAATATAGAATGATCCAAATTACATATAAAAATTATAATAATAGCAAAGAAAACCCATTAGGGAGACTTGAAATTGACCACAGCTAAAAGTCCTCATAATAAAAATAAAAAAGGGAAATTTTTGTAGAAACCAAAGATGGGCACCTCGGATTCTGATATTCGTTCCCAGAAGAAGACATTCTTGAAACCAAAGCTAAAATCTTTCAGCTGCCAGAAACCAAACAGGAATGCACAGTGTGAAATGAAATCAAATACCCGCATCAAAAATTGCAGCCAAATAATAAACAGGCATGATTGTTCACAAAAATAGGCTACTAGCAGTGCTATTTAAAGGCAGAAAATAAAGAAAAAAAAAGTTTGAGCTCAACTGGAATGGGACGCTGACTTAAGTTGAAGGGCCTAGAATGAAGAGTGGTTTCATGGTTTTGCTTGGCTTGACTTTTGGTTGCAGTCTGAAAGCACTGTGGCTGGGTTGAACTTGAGAGTAGAGAAATTGATGGAGATAGCTTTGAGGGTGAAGAAAGGAAGTTTCCATCAAAGTTTGAACACCAGAAAGAATGCCCAAATTTCTACCAAACAAGTCTCCACATTTGTGCTTTTCCCGCAGGAGCGTGACACCTACGTGCTTTTGAATTATGTAGGAAAAAAAAAAATTTAATTATAATATTTGATTTGCAGAATAAAATTATTTAGAATTTGACTAAAGACCTTGAGGTTGAATGGCATAGCTGTAATTCTTCATATGAGCGGCATGCTTTGACTCTTTGTGCTTCGATAGGTTAGCATCCAAAAAAATATTTGATTTCACAATTTTAATTTTATTGTTTGGTACACATGGAAATTGAGATAGAAGAAGTAGGATAAAGTCCAAAATACTCCTATTTTATTATTATTATTATTATTAATGCCCATACACCATCAATTGCTGCGTAGAAAGAATGAAAATTTAGGCAAATATGATATACCAATAGGAAAAGGTCAAACACCAATTTTAGGTTTAAAAAGATGGATAATTTTGTTTCAAGGTTCTTTTTTTCTTCTTAAAAAACCATGGAATTAAAATACCAATGGGGCATGAGATTCTAATTATATGAAAATGAGAAAATTGCAATTCTCTCCAACCAATCGAAATAATTTGATTGCCTTCAAAATTATGTGGACATTAAGTGGAAATGAAATTGTAATTCCATATTATCAAACGTCTCGGTAATGTTTTTTTAAGACAAATGAAACTCACAATTACTGCTTTGAGGATGTGCATTGTATAGATATCACATTATTGCCTTGTAGTCTTAATCAACAGATGATCACAATGAGGTAAACCAACCTAAGTAATGTTTAATTTAACCAAGAAAGGCCAATTTGTAGTTATCATGAAAAGCCAAACTTAAAATTTTTAAGTCAATTATATTACTAACTCGGTTGGGTTTATCTCGCATTTTCAATTTCTATGCTTGTAATGAATGGACTTTATCTTAAATAATAACTTAAAATAATGGGGGAAAATGTATGGAGTTGGGGCTAGTCTCGTTTCTCTCTCACTATTTCGCGAGCTTAGTTTGTTAAAAAACCCTACGTACGACGCTATTACTGTGGGAACCCTAAGGGAGCGCCGGAAGCCGCCGTGTTCCCGGGTCACCGCCAGATTATGGCTAATCCGGATATCTCTACAATGTGTGCGAGTTTGACCATAGCCGACGTAGATGACGAGGACGCTGCAGTTCGGCTGCCCATTGTGGCCGGGGATCATGCTACCGATGAGGAGGTTTTCTACGTTGTGTCCAGACTAGTCACCGAGAAACCAGTACGTCTGGCTTTCTTCCACGACACCATGGCTGTGGTGTGGAAGCCAGTCAGGGGAGTCAACGTGAGTGAGCTAGGTCCACGAAAGTATCTGATACGGTTTTACTATGAAAAGGATGTCATGCGGATCATAAACGACGGGCCTTGGACTTATGAGAATAGTTTGCTGGTTATGAAGATGGTACCACATGGGCAGGATCCGGAACTGGTACCGTTGACCCATGCTGATTTTTGGGTTCAAATCCATGCTTTGTCGCCGGGGTTCCGTTCAGAGGCAGTGGTGACGACAGTAGGGTCTTTTTTGGGCTCTTTTGTTAAGACGGATGAGCGCAATTTCGACGGCACGATGCGATCCTTTTATCGTGTTAGAGTCGCCATCGACGTGGCCAAACCTTTGAAGAAGCAGTTGAAGATGAAGAAGGATAGTGGGGGGTGGGCAATCATCGATTTCAAATACGAACGACTCCCTACCTTCTGTTTTCTGTGTGGGGTGTTAGGGCATGGTGATAAACACTGTCACAAATATATGACAACAGATGACAAGGCCGAAAAGCCATATGGATCGTGGTTACGAGCCGGTTCTAGGAGGGGGGTTCCAGGTAACGGCCAACGTTGAATACCGCCGGAAGCGACAACGGAGAGACAAAGGTGGAGGGCGGAAGTGTTGGCTAAGAAAAATGGGGATGCAATCGCCCGAGAGCCTGGGGAAATGCTGGGGACAACAGTCGCTAAACAGAAGAGGAGGAGGGTTGAGGAATCTCTACGTGAGGGGATGGACTGTGAGGCTTCGGTCTCAAAAAACTTGCAGCCGGTGAGACTTGCGGGGCAAGCCCGCCGACAGACATGAATATCATATCATGGAACTGCTGGGGGCTTGGCAACCAAACGGCAGTTCAGGTTCTGGCGGTCTTGGTTCGCGCGAAGAGGGCGAAGATTGTGTTTCTAATGGAAACTTTTTTTAGTGAAGCAAAAGATGGAACCAATACGAATAAGGTTGGGGTTTGATAGTGTTGAGATTAACAAGAACAATAAACAATAACAATGGCAGAAAAGGGTAAAGAATGCAAGATTTACGTGGTTCGGCAAGGTGCCTACATCCACGGGAATGAAACAATTCTCTTATTATTCATAGTGATGGTAATGGTGGTGACTCAACCCATTAGGGATACAACCAATATATTTATAGGCATCTAATCCCTGTACAATAGGTCTACCCGTTTCACTCCTACTTCTAGTATGAGACAAACTCTTATTCCTAATCCATATATGAGACAAACTCAACAGATAGTATGCTGGCTGTTGACGCACAAGGGAACAGTGGGGGTTTGGCTATTCAGTGGGACAGTGCGGTGGACTTGGAGATAACGGGGTACTCGTTGAATCATATTAACGCAAGGGTGGTGTTGGACGTGGGCAGCCCAGAGTTTAGGCTAACTGGTTATTACGGCTTCTCTGGGAGGCAATGGCGGCGGGAGTCTTGGAATTTGCTCTGTGCACTGGCAGCCCTTAGCAACCTACCATGGGTTCTAATGGGTGATTTTAACGATATACTACATCAGGGGGAGAAATGGGGCCGGGTGCCACACCCAGAGTGGTTGTTAACGGGCTTTCGTGAGGCTATTCAGGACTGCGGGCTGACAGATTTTGGGTTCTCGGGGTATCAGTATACTTGGCAACAGTCCCAGGGAACGCCAAACATGGTTTTCTTGTGACGGAGTCGTGGCTTCAGCTGTATGAAGGGGCGACAGCTGCATCTTTTCCGTGTCCGTATAGTGACCACCTGCCGATCATGCTAACCCCGATTGTGGCAACCCATCCCGCCCGGGGGAGGAGGTTTTGCTACGATAATATATGGATAAAAGAAGAGGTGTTCAGGGAGGTCGTGGAGCATAGTTGGGGAAGGACCGTGGGGCTAGATATCTTTCAGAGAATCGAGTTGTGTGGTCGGGATATTGGGAGGTGGGGACGGTCCTATAACAGAGGCTTTCAACTTCGGATTGATCGGTGCAAAAAATTTGCTGGAGATGCTACGCTCGCGCAGAGATGTGGCTGGCATCCAGGAGTACGATGAGGTGGAGAGGGAGCTATTAATGTTGCTTGACGAGCAGCATATGTACTGGCGTCAGCGTGCCAAGGAGCATTGGTGGAAGGACGGGGATTTGAATACTAAGTTCTTCCACAATTCAGTTAAGACTAGGAGGCGGCGGAACAGGGTCAGGAAGTTGAGAAAGGAAGATGGGTCGTGGACTGATGGGGATGACGAAATATGCGAGGTTATGTTGAGCTATTACAAGGATTTGTTTACGGCTCAACCTGGCCGTGATGAGGATGTGGTGGCTTGTGTGGGCACGCATGTGACAAGGGGGGATAATGTGCTTTTGGAGAGACCAGTTAGCATGGAGGAGGTACACAAGGCCGTTTTTGCAATGCATCCAGATAAATCCCTGGGGCCAGATGGGTTCGGTCCGGGCTTTTATCAACACTTTTGGCTAACAGTTGGAGGTGAGGTCACGCAGTTTTGTCGTCGGTTTATTGAGACCTCGAGATTACCAGATAAGGCTAATGATACCCTGATTGTTTTAATTCCGAAAAAATCTGTGCCCCAGACAATGAAAGATTTTCGCCCCATTGCCCTGTGTAACGTACTATATAAAATTGTAGCCAAGGTGTGTGCTAACAGACTCAAACCGTTGTTGGATAAGATTATTTGCAAATCACAAAGTGCTTTTGTGCCTGGGAGGCTGATAACAGACAACATATTGTTAGCTCTTGAGGCACACCATTTGAAGAGGAAGACACAAGGCCGTTTGGGTGTGGCAGCTCTGAAGGTAGGTATGAGCAAGGCCTATGACAGGGTAGAATGGCGGTTCCTGCGGTCGGTGATGCTAAAAATGGGGTTCAGTGATAAATGGGTTAACATTCTGCTGGAAACGGTGAGTGGTGTCAATTACCATATTTTACATGACCAGAAGCAATTGGGGCCGATAGTACCCACACGGAGCCTGCAACAGGGTGACCCGCTCTCGCCATATTTATTCTTGATGGTTGCTAAGGGTTTAAGTGCCTTGATCGACAATCGGGTGAGAAGGGGGGTGCTGCATGGGGTGACAATAACACGAGGGGCACCGTATATCTCGCATTGTTTGGGGCGACTACTTCCTTTTTATGCGTGCAAGTGTGGAGGAGTGTGGCGTGATGAGACAAATTCTAGACCAGTATGCGGAGGCTTTGGGCCAACTTGTGAACTATGATAAGTCGATGGGCTGCTTCAGTTTGAATGTTTATGAACAGTGTAGGAACACGGTAACAAGTGTCCTAGGAGTCCAAGCGGGAGATACAACAGGGAAGTATCTTGGCTTGCCATCTTTGGTGGGCCGGAATAAGAAGGCGATATTGGGGTTTATAAAGGATAAGATTTTAAGTCGGATGCGCGGCTGGAACACCAGGTTCCTGTTGCGGGCAGGGCGAGAAGTCTTGCTCAAGAATGTGTTGCAAGCCTTACCGTGTTATGCTATGTCAGTGTTCTTATTGCCTGATACACTATGTGCCGAAATAGAGAGGATTTTTAATCAATATTGGTGGACTGGAGTGGTTGGTGATGGAAGGGGGCTGCGGTGGAAGTCGTGGCAAGCTTTGTGCGAACCTAAGGCTGCAAGTGGGTTGGGGTTCAGGAGATTGAAACATATGAACCTTGCATTATTGGGTAAGCAGGCTTGGCGGTTCTTAACACGCCCGGACTCCTTTGTGGCACGAGTGTTTAAGAGCCGCTATTTTCCTAACACAACTTTTCTTGATGCAGAAACTGGTAG